GTTGTTTTCTTGAAGTATCGTTGTCTCTGAATGAATTACAAAACAAGTTCTTCAGCGATCACTGAACAAGCTCAGTGTATGATCGCTGGAACTGAAATTACAGACACAGAAATACATCGAAAGGAAAAAGGGATTATCATCAAATCACTGAGAGAGAGGATCAACACCTAGGCCCAAGGCCCTCTTGACATTTAATATGTAGTGGACCCAACTAGATAGTTAAGACAATTTATCACTTTGGTAATATAAGACACTTGAAAAAATGAGATTTGGTCTATGCAAGACAAACCAAATACCCAAAAAGGCCCGTGAGACACATCAAAATTTTATTTTATTTATTTGATCCATGTTCGCATTCGCTATCTCACTATGTATATGCGTGTGATTAATGGACAATGATAATTGATAAAAAGGAATGGAAACGTGAAAATTTTAAATCTGAGATCTTTAACCCCCGCCCCCAACCAAAGGTGATTTACTAATTTGGGAAAACTTTCATTCAATCATGGATGAAAATAACCGTCCAAAAATTTCCCATTTGTTCATATCAATCAGATGAATCTACATCATCGACGTAATGACATGGTTTTACTGCTAAATGAACATGAAAAGGATGGAGAAATTCAAGACAAATGGTCTTTATTTATCAATAACAATTGTAAAGCTCTTGTAGGCAATACATCAAACATATGGGCTACATACCTCCAAGAACACACTCCAATATCATAACTTGATACTTTGAAATCCATATGCTGAATCTAAAAACAAAAAGTCGAAGAAAAGATTGATTCCATATAAAGAAAGGAGAAAAACCAGGAAATTACTTGAAATATTAACTGACCATTAGTTGCTGACAACGATGGTTTACTGCTTCTCGAACCCTCCCTTCTTTTTTATATATAAAAGCAACAGCCAAGAACAGGTATGATGCTTATGGAAGGAAGGAATCTGTATAGCATACATAAGCATTGCCGGAAAAAACACATAAGAAACGTAGATCAGACAACGAAAGCATTCGTATCTAAATAACTAAATGAGACCCACCCAATTTAGGAGGTGTTTGGGATTGTTTATTAAAATAACTTATTGACTTATTCCGATGTGGTACCGGTAAAAATCACTTCTGAGTGTTTGGATAAACAACTTATACCGGTGCCAAACCGGTAATAAGGAGTTTTTGAAAAAGTTAAACTCTTCTGACTTATAATAAGTTGATAAGTGTTTTTGAAGAAAAACATAAGTTGTTTCAAATAAGCAAAGCCCAAACACCCCCTTAAATGATGAAAGCCATGATCGACTATGTTTGATCCATAAGTTATAGGTTTTTGAGTTGGTTTTTCGTTAAGTTCTGTAGAAATAGATAAAGTTGTTTTTCTGGGAAATTTTAAATTTCTGCATAAAACTTCCCTAGATGCTTACTGGATAAATCATTTTTTATATCATTAAGTCGCTATCTAAAAATCATTTATAGCTGACCCGATAAGTTATGAATCATATAAGTTGATTAAGCTGCTAATATAGTTCTTACATTTATCAGGTAATTCCAAAAAAATGACAATGAGATCATGGAAACATTCCATTTTCGAATTTTTTCTCTCTTTTATCCATAGATGATTTTGATTTTAATTATAAGTTAAATTTATTTTGGTCGTAACGATTTCACATTTTAGTCAAATACAAATATTTTTTCTCAGGAATCCATCAGTAATTCTTAAATAAACCGTGTCAACAAAAATTATCTGGTTTCCCTTGGTTATCCGTCAGTAATTACCGACGGTAATGATCCATGACTTCTTTGCAGTGATAACCCCTTTTATAGCAGTGTTTGTAACGTTGGGATATATCGTTAAAGAATACAGAGAATCTAAGAGGCGTTGCTTACATTTTGGTCGAAATATCCTTTCCAACTTATAAAATCGGCACGGGATCATTACTCCGTGTAGAATGTATCGTTTATTTTGCCTCCGTCATAGGTTCAAAATACCTATAACACCACTCTTGACGCCATTCTGTCCTAAAATGTTTGTCACAAAGTTTTTGTGACGCCGGTTGTGTCGCTATAAATACAAACAACAAACAAAAATAATTTAGGGGATGTTTCGCAAACATTGAATAGTTTGATGTAGAATGATTAAGTGATTCTGTATGATTCGGTACAAAATGAAAAATGGATGTTTAGTAATTGTTAGAGCGGAAATTCTAAAAAACATAAAATTAATTACCATTTTAACCCTCAATGACTCCAAAAATGCCTTTTAAACATATGCAGCCTCAAATGAAAGTTCATGGTAAATTTATGTCATTGAGACATTTCATCAAACACTTGATTTACATATTTTTAGTTCTAAAACCTGGATAGTAGAAAATGGTGCAACTTAGTCCAAAAAACATATCTACACAAAATCCAAGCATATCCAAATAAAGAGGAATAAACAAGACCATCAAAACAACAAAGAGGAATCAAAATAAACAAACAAACAATGAAACCCGATATAAAGGCGACCATAATGTGCAACAATAATCAAACCATCAAATTAAACAGCAAAGAGAAATCGACTAGACGAGAATCCACGAGATGGAAGAGGAATCGATGAGATACCTACAGATGTGAGAAGATGAAATGCAACGATGAGCAATCTATGAAGAAACCAACCTCAAGATGATTTAGGGAGCCCCCAGATGACAAACCGCTCAGAGGCTAACGTAGCACTTCAGAGGTTATCTTTTTCTTGCCAAACATGATGCTCCTCTGACCGAATAATAGGTTCTCTCTTAATGCAACCGTTAAGAAGTAAACAAACATCCCCTTAAAAGTGTTACTAAGGTGCCGTTTACCAAACGCTTACCCGGGTAAGCGCTTACCAACTCAGTTTTACTTTACCGGATGAATATGGCAAGGACTAAAAATCTTACCCGGTAAGAGCGAATGCAAGAATCGAGAGTCTTACCCGGTAAGTGAGGACGATGACTCTTACCATGGTTAGCGCTTACCGGGATAAATTGTTGCATACAATGTGTTTTAGTGAATAAAATCTTACCCGGTAAGTAAGCGACAATGTTGAATTTTACCGGTAAATGCTTACCGGATAAGTGTTTAGGTGAACGGCCCTAAAAGAAACTTTCCATATATAGAAATAAGGAATGGTAGGAAGATATTATTATGTTTAGAAAGCAACTATGTCAAATAAGACTATACAGATTCATTTCCGACGCCAAGTGGCCATCGCGTAATGTCGTGCAAGTGTGTAATTAACTCCTCGTGAAAGTCCAGTTTATTACAGTGTGTGTCGTTTAGGGTTTAGGGTTTAGAATTTGTCCAGAATATAAAGCATGAATACAAACGGAAAGCATCTGTTTCGGCTACGATGCTATACTGATTGGTTTGACTTTAATTGGGAGACCCATGGAAGGATATGGCATCGGTTGTCGGGTGATGACTTCGTTTGGATGTATCAACGACCATTCATACATTGTCACGAGCTTATGTATCGTGATTAATGTTTCCACCCTCGCAAACTCGTTCCCTAAACACGAATGTTGTCCTCCTCCAAACGGTATATAAGCATAAGGGGGAATCGGTGTCGGAAGATTGGTTTCGAAGCGAGATGGATCGAACTCCGTCGGGTTGACAAAGATATCGTTGTCCATGTGCGTGCTGTATGCCGACCAAAACACCTGAATGAATTTAACTATCAATAATGGCTATATTTTTCGAGTTTACTCGTCTTAAGGTGATGTTTATGGATTTTGGGATATCTGTCACTACAATAAAATTGACTTTATAGGACGCCTAAAATGTCTTAGCATCTTAATAAAATGCTTTATAGAACTTAAGTTTATAGGACCAAACCAAAAGTTGTCATATCTAAATGTGTTACAATAGGTTTATAGAATGTTTTTTCGGTGTTTCAACAAGTTATTTAAGACACTTTTAAAATAAAGTGTCATAAGATGAGTTTATAGAACATATCTCAAAAATGTTCTATAAAATAGCTAATATGACACCTTATTTTAAAAGCGTCATAAAAAACTTGTTAAAACGTCAAAAAACGTTCTATAAGTCTGTTGTAACATGTTTAGATATGACCCTTTATAATTTGGTTTTATAAACATAAGTTCTATAAAATATGTTATTAGGACGCTTAGACACTGTAGACGTCTTATAATGCCAACTTTGTTGTAACGTGTCACTACAACGATTCAGTTAACTGTCTAAATATCAGTATTTACTTCTTCATGAGACATGTTATATGACCAAATAACTGTGCGTCCTATATAAAAGTGGTACAATAGGTTGTAATGACGTGTTTTAAAATAAAGTGTTCTATTAGCTTTTTTAGATACAGTTTTTAAGAAGTGTTTTGTGAACATTTTTTTTACCAAACACTTGTTTTTATAAGACATTTTTTCGAATATTATCGTATAAAAATACTAATAAAACGTTTTATTTCAAAATTGCCTTGAAAACTGTTGTGATACTTGAAAACATTCTATTGACTTTTTACCGTATGGTGTTCTATAAAACCAATTACGTTGTAATGTGTGAAATTAACATGTTTATTACCTGCCATCCTTTCGGGATATCGAATCCACCAAAGCTAGTATCGTTTACGGCTTTCCGGAAGCTTCCGAAGACGGGCGGGATGATCCTCATCAACTCTTGAGCAACTCTCCATGTATATTTCATCTTCTGTATGTCATCCCACGTCAAATTCCGATCGTCCCTTCCTTCTTGGTCTCGTTGTATCTCGACTTGTTCTTTAACCATTCGAACACGTTCATCAAATCGTATTCGTAACCAAATAATTTATATAACATGATTTGAAAAAATCAACTTTATAAGTCGTCAAATATGTCTAAATATCTTAATAAACTGTTTTATAAGATTCGAATTTATCGCACTAAAACAATTATACGTCATATGTAAAGATGCTACAATAAGTTGATAGTACGATTTTGGGCATCCTAACAAACTCTTAACACACGTTTGAAATAAAACGTCCTATTTACATTTTTATACGACATTATATAAAGAAAATGTCTTATAAAATCCAAATGTTATAAGACGTGTTTGTATAGCAGATCCCAAAAACGTTGTACAAAAAAACTAATACGATACTTTATTTCAAAAGTGTTATATGATAAACTTAACGCTTCTATACAAAAATACACAAATTGTGTAGTCTTATAAATTTAATGGTATGTTTTTAGCGGATTAATCATAGCTTATTCGATCAACTATACATGACTGTTTGGTATTGAATGATATAAAAAGTGACTTATTCAGTAAACTTATAGGGGACTTTATGCAGAAAGCCAAATTTTTTATGTGTACGCTCCATCCATCTATAAAAAAACGCTTGCAAACGTTATTTTTCCCAAACTATATAGACAGATAAATCCACATGAACAACTTTATCCCAACAAGACTTACCAAACATCCCCAAGTCATGTAAAGTAATTTATTAGGACATTTAGACATATTTGACCTATAAATCCGATTTTATTAGTGACGTCCTAGCGATGAATTTGCCGTCGCTAAGAGTGCCTTATTCCGTATAATCAGTTTCAAAATAAATGATTCGAGTACCTTCGTAAACTTTAAGATGGATTTCGGGATCTTTAGAAAGCTTCCATACAATCAAGCTCATTAAAATGGCCGAAGTATCATGGCTAGCGATCATCAAAGTGACAGCTTCCATACAATCAAGCTCATTAAAATGGCCGAAGTATCATGGCTAGCGATCATCAAAGTGACGAAATTGTCGACGATCATCTCGTATGTGATCACATCTTCGTTTTGTGTTTTGAGAGCAATCAAACTCGATAGAATGTCGCTTGCAGGGTGCAGTCTTCCCTCACGGAGGTCCGCACTTTTCTTCCTTATGATCGGCATCAAGCGGGCAATGATTCTAGACCGAGCTCGCAGCCCACGCCAGTAAGCCGTTCCCGGAAAGTTGACCGGAATAGACCAAACTGCTTTGAAAGCTAGGGAGAAATCATGGGAGAATTCTTCGATCAAAAGGTCGTCTTGAATGCCAAATAAGACCGCAGATGCGATATTGAATGTAAGCCGTTTCATGAAGCCGACAGTCGGGATGACGTCGGTTTCTTTTGTCGATTTCAGAAATAAGCTGGTGATCAAATCGTCCATCTGTTTTATATTGGTTTGAAGGCTTGATGGCTTCATAAAGCTCGACATCGCTCCCTTGATCAACTGGTACCTGATAAAGAAGTCGTTATAATATCGAATGGAACTTGGAGCAACCCGTAAATCCTCTATGGATCCGAAGATAACGAATTTTATTGCAAATAACAAACTAAAAAGCACGGAGATTTACGTGATTCATGGAATCACAACAACAAAATCGATTTTACAAGACGTTAAATATGTCTAAAAGTCTAATAGACTTAGGTATACTATACAAAAGTGTTGCAATAAGTTGATAGGATGTTTTTTTTTTTTTGCCTTTTTGGACTTCCTAACAAATTATTTTACCACACTTTTAAAATAAAGCGTTTTATTACTTTTTTTTTACATTACATTATTTTAAAAAATTGTCCTATAAAATAATTATTTTATACAAAAGTGGAAATTGTCCAAAATAGTCATTTTGGATTCCCTAATTCATTTTATAGCCGTTTTTCTACTCAACTAACCAAAATAGTCAAGATTTTACAAGTAACGCTTTGACAACTTGCGAAATCTACTTTATTGAATAACCTTTTAACAAGTTGTTAGAGTGCTACTTACGAACTGTTGATGTGGCAAATAACATATTTACATCAAGATTTCGCAAGTAGCACTTTAATTAGCAACTTCCGAAATTGCTACTTTATGAATATTATATTTATAAAAAGTGGATTTCAAGATACTAAAATGTTACTTGCAAAATTTTGGCTATTTCGCTCAATTTTGTATAGACCACTTTCAGGAGTATTATATAAAAAAGGGATAAACTAAATGAACCCTTACCCACATCAACATCAAGACTTTGAAGAAATTGAAATGGAATTTGACTACACGTTTAGTTATAATGAACTCGAATGAAATATGTCAAACGATTTAAAATTTGTTAGTTTGGTTGCTAGAACGTAGCTCCGGAATTGGAATGAATAAACCACAAATGACCAAAATACCCCTTTTATAACGATAGTGGTGGTTCATATCGGTAATGGTCGGCAATAGTTGAGAATGGTGGGGTCGGCGGAGGTTCAGAACGGTGGTGGTCGTCGGTGGTTGAGATGGAGGTCATATGAGTCTTAAATTAAGTAGGGAAAACATGGATTATTTTGTCTTTTAAGAAAATGGGGTGAATTGAAATTAACTGTGATGAAATGACCAAATTCATAAATGGTGGAATGTATGGAAATTCAATTATATTCCATAGGTAAACCAAACGACTGAATGTAATTTGTTAGGAGAATCCGATCATTCCAATTCCTTAGACTCCATCATAATCATATGAACCAAACACCCCCCTTATTTTTACATTCTCAATGCATAATTTGACCTGATTTTAAAATGAAATTGGTGTATACATCATTCTCCGTAAAGAATAACGTAACACTTTATTTCAAAAATGTCCTAAAAAAATATGTTGGGGAAAGAGAAGATACCTTGATCCAGTGAGCTCAAAAATGTTATGCTTTCCGGCTATGGTGGATAGGGTCTTGGGTTGTTTTGCAATAAGAACAGTTTCATCGGACCCAAGTATAAACTTGTTCCCAGATTGACCAATGATCACCACCGTTGGTGCACCCATGAGGGATGTTTTGAAAACTGGCCCATGTTTCTTAACCCTATGGCTGATCCATTCAGACCCTTGGTCTTTCTTTTGTGCTTCAAGAAAGCTCAAAGTCTCTCCAATCAAAGGGTACCCTAAAAACCCTCTCGGCAGATTTTTAGATCTATCTTTCTTTTTCAAGAATAAATTGAGAAGCAAAAATGCAGAACCCAATGTGATTGCAATTAGGAGGAGGATAGACATCTGAATTCCCACTTGATTAAGCTTGGCTACAATAACCCTTATATATATATATATATAAATGATACTTATGCAATGCAGCGAGATACATATTGATTTTAATATTTCATTTTATTCTTTATCTCAGTCGATTTTATTAATCTTATGTGATTTTGAAAAAACGATGATGTTTTTATTTTTGAATAAAATATAAACTTGAAAATATCAACAAAAAAAATTGACAAAAAATATATCGATATTAGTATCAAGTTAACTATTTAAAATTCATATTTTTTGTGTAAATTTTTAATTCAAATTTTTATTGTAATTTCATTTAGGTTCAATAACGAAATAACTTATATTTGGTTTAATAATATAATTTTCTTATAAAGATAATAATTATTTATTTTGTTGGAACTCGATAATTATTCTAATTATATTTTAAATATTTTATAATTAAAATGAGATGTTTATCCTCTAAGATTATGTTTATCTACAGTTAGTTACAAAAATTCAAACATGAAACTTTAATAAGTTGTACTTATACATAATTTACTTGTAATCTTGAATTTTAAGTAATATGCATCAATATACAGTATTTAATGCATAAAAAATAGTTTTAAGAGTTTTTGTTAAATGCTTTATAATATAGTATATATATATATATATATATATATATATATATATATATATAAGGGAGTTCATCTATAATCTGTCTAGATTATACAACCGATGCAACTCACTTATCACCATCATATATTTTTTTTATTTTCTTTTTTGGTTTTTTTAATTAACGGTAGTCATAAACGATCAAATGATAACTGGTTGTAAGAATGTAAATGATTGCACAATAACCTACTCTCTCTCTCTCTCTATCTCTCTCTCTCTCTATATATATATATATATACACACACACACGTACGTATATGTATCTTCAAAGGGATTAAGAGTTTGTCTACCTAAACACTTACCTGGTAAGCGCTTAAGATAATATTCAACTTCATCGCTTACTTATAGGGTAAGATTTTTTCCTACCAAAATGACATCGTGTATAACAATTTACCCGATAAGCGTTGACCGTGGTAAGAGTTGTCGCCATCATTTACCGGGTAAGACTCTCAGTATGTGCCTTCGCTCTTACCAGGTAAGATTCTTGGTACCTGTCATATTTCATCCAGTAAAAAAATATGACTTAATAAGTACTTATCCAAGTAAGCGTTTGTTAAATGGTCCATAAATAATATAGTTGGAATAATGTGTTTTGTCGATTGTGGAAGCATCTTGATTGAGCATATTTTGGTGATATAGTCAATGAAGGCTGATATTGATCGATTGTTTTTATATGAGTTTGGTTTCGTAGATTCTTTGGTATAATCGACTTTCTGTTTTTGGTAAGAAGCTTTTTAATTCAATTAATAATTAACTTTCTATAAATATTAATATTTTAAGATATTTTTTTATTAGTTGATAATTACGTTATGGTTTTATAATAAATTAACAAGATATATGAATATTTAATTAAAATGGTTGTTTAATTGGTTGAAAATTATACCAAAATATTTGATGGGTTTAATCAGATCAAATGGATAACTGATAGTAATATCCAATTGATGAAATCCATCTGATCCAGTTATTTATTGGACTTGATTGAATTAGATGTTCAATGTTAATTGTATTTGATCGAATGTCAAAGTATAACATCCATTGAATGATTGGATTGGATCAGATCTACCTAAATTAATTGGATTTCAACCGATGAATACCACTAACGTTTGCCGTTTACCCATTTTTCTTTAACTTTATTTGAAAAATGAGTTTTTATATATTGATCTAGAAAAAAAATTAAATTTTGAGAACACCAATCATAAGGTCCGAGACGACCCAAAAAGCAATTGATCATTTCACAAAAGTCGAAGAGGTTTTTTTTACTAATGAATCAATAGTCATAAAGGCGTAGTTGATGAACAACAAATGAATATTCCTGTACTACCCCTTGTTGGTCCTAACCTTGGATTGTTGTTGCATATTCAGCTCCTGTTGCAGTTGCGACTGCTGTTTTCTTTCTACATTACATGAATTGATAAGAACTAAGAAATAAATATGGAAATCAGATTCGATTCCATGGGCATTTTTGTCATTTTGGTTGGATTTGATATAAAGCACAGTGATTGAAAGTGAAATGATAATTTTTTTTAAAAATTTTTATAACTAAATGACACACAACAGCTTTAAAAGGAACTAGATTACATGGTGTATCTTTTACAAAAACCGAAGATCTTTTTTTTCTTCAAGTAAAAGGAACTTGCATAACGATCTTCCAATGAGTAAGTGTTGTTCATACAAGGAGCAAGAAAGGAAGGAACGTCAAAATACGAAACACGACAACAGTTAAAACAGGTTTGTGGAGCGAGGGCGTGAGCCACCCTATTAGCTTGTCTCCTAACTGACTGAACCGGGAAGAAGTCATGATGGTCCAAAATGGCACAACACCAGACAATAACGTCCCTAACTCTGAATTATCATCTTCCGAGGAATTGAACATATCAATTACAGGCTTGGCATCTGTCTCAAAAATTAGTGTTATAACTTAGGGGCCGTTTACCAAACACTTATCCTGTAAGTGCTTACCGGTAAATTTAACACTATCATTTACTTACTAGGTAATATTTTAGTTCACAAAACGGTATCGTATGCAACAATTCATGTGGTAAACGCTTATCGTGGTAAGAGTTGTTGCTCTTACTTACTTGGTAAGATTTGTGGTCATTGTCTCGTTCTTATATTGATAAGATTCTTGATTTTTATCATATTCATCCGGTAAGATAACATGATTGTCAAAGACCTTCCAGCCTAGTGGTAAAGGCTTGGGCATGGCATAGTCATGAACCCAAGTTCGAGCCCTGGGAGGGGAGTGTTGCCGACATTTAAGTGAGGCCATGTTTAGCCTCCAAATTTGCCGGGGATTAGTCGGGCTTTGGCCCGGACACCCTTACAAAAAAAAAAAAAAAAGATAACATGACTTGTATTCATTTACCCGAATAAACATTTGGTAAATGTCCCCTTAAATTTTATTGCACAAACCAAAACACCAAAAAGGCTTATAGCTTCGTAATCTTCTAGCCATGAATAAAATATTTAACAAAAACAAAATAATGGGCCACCGGCCCACCAGTATTGATAAAAATGAGCCCAATTGTAAAAATTATGGCCCATGGGAGGAGACTAAAATACCAAAATCATTTGGTTTGTACGAAACCCTAGTGTCAAGTGAGCCACGCAGCAGGAGCAGGTCATCTTCTTCGTGAAAGATCCGCACTCAGAAGGATTTACGCAAAATGGTTGGTTTGCTGATCAATTCGTTAGTTTCTGGTTACAATCTCCATTGATCTTTCTTATCGCCTCCATTTAACTGATTTTTGTGCGTGCAGACTTTCAAGCGAAGGAACGGAGGACGCAACAAGCACGGCCGTGGTCACGTCAAGTTTATTCGCTGCTCTAACTGTGGAAAATGCTGTCCTAAGGTAATTATTATATTTTCAGGCTCTTTGTCGTTCGATTTCTATTGATTTGGTTTCGTTTCTAGATTTAAATTGTTGATTTTGTTGTATGTGAGTTTGTTTTTAACGATTTTTTGTTGGAAATTATTTATTGGTGAATTGATTTTGCTATGGTTCTGTTTGCTAGGTTAGTGGATTTCACAAGTAATGTTGGTTAGATCCTACACTGGTTTCTGGCATGTTTTTCTTTGGTAATTGACAATGCTAGATAGAAATTCTCATGCTCGCCAAGTTAGTTGCTGAAACCAGTCTGAAGATGATGTGTAGTGTTGATTTCTTATACGAGATTTATCCCATTGATATCTATGTTTTTGCTTTTGTATTTGCAAGTGATAAGATAAACTATTTAGTTACTGGCTGAATCAAGTTTGGTTTTATGTCACGACCCGATCTAATCCTATATGAGTTTATTTGTCGTCGAGTCATTGAGTTGTTATATGGATCTTCTCATATGTTTGCTTGCATATATTGTTGTGATTAGTGATAGAAACTACTAAAGTCTCGGGATTGAATCTTCTCAAAATTACTGGTTTACAGTTGGGGCATGTAAATCTTGCTAGGCGATTATCTATTTGCACTAGATCGTGAATCTTGACTGTGTTAACATGAGCTATTAGCAGTTAACAGTGTGTCAAATTGAGCCGAAAGATAGTTCGAGATGCTCATTTTTACAATTAATGGACTTCTTATATTCTTGTCTTTTGTTAAGCATTGGGTCTCTCTTTATCAATTTTAATCGTTGATTAGGACAAGGCTATTAAAAGATTTCTTGTGAGGAACATAGTGGAGCAAGCTGCTGTAAGGGATGTTCAAGAAGCTTGTGCTTTTGATCGTAAGTCTTGCTTCCGGTGGATTTTTATTCATATAACTGATGTAGTTGCGAATAATTATTCTGATTAAATGACGAGTTTCTTTTTTCTTTCAGAGTACACCCTTCCCAAGTTGTATGTGAAAATGCAATACTGTGTTTCCTGTGCAATTCACTCGAAAGTTGTTAGGGTTCGCTCACGAACTGATAGGAGGAACCGTGAGCCCCCGAAGCGATTCACTCGCCCAAGGGTATGCTATCTACCCTTGTTAATACATTTCTTACTCCCTCCTTCCAAAAATAAGTGTTCATGTTTCTATTTCAGTTTTTTTCTCAAAATAAGTGCCTACTTTCCATTTCTACTCTTAATTATGAGAGGGAGAAATTCAATACTTCATCTATTATTAAGGGTAAAATTGTCTTTGTTAATAAAAAATGGTAATAGTTACACATTTCATCGTGGACATTTATTTTGGATCAAAGGGAGTAGTATCCATAAGACGTTATTTATTGATGCATGTTGGACTTTGGTATTAGTTGTTGACATACTAGTGACGGATGCTTTGGACTAATATTTTATTATCATTCTAGTTTTAGACGCTTTCCGAAGTCATTTGTGGTTTCATCGTTTCTTTTGCTAAAATAGTCGTAGCTTCTAGGGGTGGCAATTTTGTACCAAGCCACACCAGCCAACGTTTGTACCAACCGTACCAACTTAATTGGTACCAATTACAGTCGGTTGGTAGTACCGTACCAAGTATGCACACTTGTTTGGCACACAGTATTAGAAGTAGCGGTAACCGTGGTCCCAACTTATTTAATGATTTATTAGTTTTAGTATTTTTATGTATTTAATATTGAAAAATATAACTTTTAACTATTTTTGTTTGAACATTTGAATGTTTTCAAGTTTTATTTCTTGCAATTGGAAACCTTTAGACATGTTACGTGAAAACACAAAATGTCACTCAAAATTTGAACAAAGTGACAAATTTTCATATATGTAACTTGAAGTTGGTAAAAAACCAGTACCAACTGAAAAATGTACCAAATACATTTGGTTGGCACACAGTATGGGATTTTGCATACTAATTATAATTGGTTGGTACACGGTATTGAGGAAAAAACTTGGTACTGTACCAAGTCCACCCCTAGTAGTTTCTATTGAATTGTTAACACATGGTTTTTTCTTAGTTATTGGATTTTCCTTTCATGAAACATTTCAATTACTTTGTGAGCCAACGTTTGGTTTTTGACTGGATGTTTTTTTGTTTATGTTTCAGGATGATTTGCCCAAGCCAGGTCAAGCACCCCGTGCAGGTGGTCCAGGTGGTCCTCCCCCTGCTCGTACTTAAGTTACCGTCTGATGAATGAATGTACCATGAGGTCAATTTTGAATTATCATGCTTTTAAATACCGAGATTATGAATTTAGATTTTGTATTAGATTCTTGTTGTTCCGGGAAAATCGGTGATATTTATAACTTCATTTGGGTATGCCGGGTTGATTTACTCGGTAGCATCTGATTCTGTTGCTGACTGGAGTTCATTTGATATGAGCTATTTCATCCCCAGCAGTTAATACAGATAGATCCTAATAAACCGACATCCTTTCTTATCGCTGTTTATTAGGGGCTGTTTATCTAATTGCTTATTAGTATGAGTCAACACTTCTACTTACTTTACGGGGTAAAATTCTCGTGTATTAAAACATCGTATGCAGCTAGGGGTTTAAACAAGCTGAGTTGAGTCAAGTAGTAGGTTATTTGAGCTCAGTTCGAAAAAGTTATACTAGGCTCGAGCTTGAGGTCAAATATTTTGAGTTATCGAGCTGGTACTCTTCGATTAACTTGTTTGATGGCTTGAGGTTGATAACTTTTATATTTTTATTCTATTATACATGAACATATGAGTATGTTTGACTCGAAAAAGCGTATGCTTGAATGGTTCAGCTTGACTTGGCTAGACTTGAAGAACTTAATCATGCTTTCAAACAAGCCGAGTCGAACATTGATTTTATGATCCTTGACTGGTCAAGTCACATGAGTTCTATCTTGTGTTCAAGATCGACTAGAGCTCAAGAATTATTAAAGCTTGAGCTCGAGTAATTTGTTAAAAGCTTGACTCATGTACACCTTTATATGCAACAAATTATATGGTAAGTGCTAGCCCGGTAAGAGTCGTTACCTTCATTTACCTGGTAAGGTTTTCGGTTCTTGTCATGTCCTTGGTCGAGTTCTTCATCGACCCCTTATTAGCTTGTCTTATAGTTCTTTTCATTTGATATGTCGTTAAATAAACGAAAGGATTCTGATGAAATCAGAATGAAGCTAATATAAAGAAAATTTAACGTCAATCATATAAATTGTCTAATCTATTTTGATTTAAGAAAATTTTAGGTTTCTGTTATTCGACTTTTGAAATTATACATGATAGTATAGTTGTCTATAGTTTGCATTTCGTGTTGAGGGCAATTTGGTCCTTCTACACTTGTATTCTCCCATGGTGTCCCGGTAAGTAAAGAAGGGTTTGACTCATGGGTCGTTTACCAAACGCTTACTCGGGTAAGTGAACACCAAGTCATATTATCTTGTCGGATGAATATGGCAAAGACTAAAATCTTACTTGGTAAAAGCAAGACGAGGACCAAGAAAGCCTTGCTCAATAAGTGAGGGCGATGACTCTTACCACGATAAGCGCTTATCGGGTAAATTGTTGCATACGCAACCGTTATGGTGGACTAAAATCTTACTCGATAAGTAAATAATCGTGTTTGATTTTACCGGTAAATGTTTATCGGGTAAGTGTTTGGTAATAGACCCGCTAATGTCCGTTTACTATACGTTTGTATTTTTTAAAATAGAGAATAAAAAATCAAGATCTCTAAAAAATAATGTATTTCCAATAGATTCTCTATTTTGGAAATTATACTATGACATATTATTAAAATATTCAGTATTTTTTTATAAAATATTATTTCTCGGTATTCTAGTTGGTAGGAAAAAAGTTCTCTTTTATAAATAATAATTTTTCAAGAGTTTTCTAAATTTGAAGAATTTCACCCTCTCTTTTATACTTTCTCTGTTTTGGAGAAGGCTTTGAGGTATTTATTGGAGCAAAAATCTTCATTTTGGAAAATTTGTTAGAGATACTTTGATCGGAAAAGATTACCATCCTCACTTATGTTATTAGGTGATATTATCGACTATCAACATGTATTGCTGGTAAGTAGGGGTGATCATCAGTTGGGTTGATCGGGTTGAAGGCATTTGAACAATCCAACCCAATGCTTGCGGTTTGGAAAAATCTCAACCCAACCAAATTCAAACCAAAGTGCAACCCAACCCAACCCGTACGGGTTGGTCGGGTTGATATTTTGGTACATTAAAATATTTTTCTGACATTGAATATGTTATTTTCCTACTCATAATTTCTTTTTCATCATCAACCATTTGATACAACTTATCCATATTTCTTACGTATATCACATTCTGTTAATTTTCTCAATTTACATATATATGCTCATGGTTACTGAACATATATACGAATAAATTATATAGAGATGTGAATAGATTGAGAATATATGTATATGAAAAACACATACATAATAGTGTAATTGTGTAATGTATATATTAATAGAACTCCAACAATCATATTAAATTCAAGAAATAAAAGGATATCGGGTTCATCGGGTTGGGTTGGGTTCAAATAATAGACCTAATACCTACGGTTTGACAATTTTACAACTTGATTAGACATTGGGTTGTTTCGGGTTGAGTTATTTCATGTTGGGTTGGGTTGGTCGGGTTTTTGAGCACCCCTACTGGTAAGTGTGTTTTATCCAGTATATGCTTATAGGGTACGTTTTTTTTCTCAATTACCGGGTATGATTTTCAATCCTTACTATGCTCTTGCCGAATAAAATTCTTGGTGCTTGTCATGTACACTCGATAAGGTAAGTGACACTTGATAAACGTTTATCGAATAATTGTTTGGTAAACGAGCTTTAGTTCAATTTAGTTCACATACATTTACGATGCAATAATCAGTCCAGTATGTGACATACTCGTTGATTAAAAATTTAATTATTCAGGTGTTTCTAGACTGATGTTGTATTAGTTGAATTGGTGTAATGCATTGAATGTTCTGAGACTTTGGTATTTATTATTTAAGTTTCTCAGATGTTTTAGACTTCTGTCGTGTCAGTTGAATTGGTGTAATGCATTGAATGGTTCGAGACTTCGGTATTCATTATTTAAGTTCTCGGTTGGTTGAATTATTTCTTTAGTTTTGTAAAAGCATCTCCAACAGTTATGATAAAAATAGAAAATTTTAAAAATTTAGAATTTTTTTTTTTGCTTCAACAACTACGATAAAAAAGAAAAAAAAAGAGATAAAGATGTAAATCTTCAAATTTTTAAAAAAATATCTAAGACACTACAGAACGTAGAAAAATAATATTTAATTATTTTCCATCAATAAAAGGTATTTAACTTAAATGTATAGAAACGGAAAATAATATTTTATTAAATGTATTGAATATTTTATCAGTATAGTTAATGTTAGAATTGTTAAAATATAACAGCTGTTATAGCTGGATGCAATTTTTTTTAAAGATTTTGACTTTTCATTTATAACATAGCTGTTGGAGATGTTTTAAAACACTATATCTTCACGCCTTCCTAGGGTTTTAAGAAGGGTGCTACAAAGAGTTTTATTTAATAAGATTTGTAGAATAAAGTATGTTTGTTTCCTCACGATAATTTGGCTTATGAAAGAGGTACGGTTTTATTGGGTAATGACGAATGACGAAAAGGGTTATGCATAGGTTAAAACTTACAGATGGATATTAATTTGAATTTCAGTAAAGTTTGTAAAGAAGGAATGTATAAAAAAAATTATATACTGGCTTATTCTGTTTATTTGGTTTAGCCAAAATCGGGAAAAGAAGAAAACTAAAACCAAACCAAACACGACTATTTTATTCAGTTAATCATGCCATTTAACACGAAAACCAAGTAACCTAAATTTTATGGGTTATTCGAAAGGTTGACTACCGCCAAAGAGTCGGTGGAAAAAGGGGGGAAAGCTCTCCGTTCCTGGTTCTCCTGAGTACGTTCGCAATAATGAAACTCAAAGAAATTGATGGAGGCCCGCACAAGCGGTGGAGGGCAGCCTTAAACAAAAACCTGTCTCCAGTGACACCAAACGTGAAGGGACATTTTTTCGTTCACTTAAGAGTTAAGGTTATTCAGTTTCGATGTCTAGTACTTGTCAAAACTCCCCGCCACTATGTTCCTGTGGCTTCTGATGAAACGTCAAAGGAGAAGAAGAAATAACCATGATGTTTTTGGTTATGTCTAGGATGCACAACGACCTTCTTTAACACCTATGTGTCTCACTGTGTTTGTGTATGTTTAGATGTGGTGGTGGTGCATGTCGGGACTAGTCTTCCAGAACACTGATTTTACTTGGGAGCTTTTTAATATCAAGTATTTTATTTGAATGTCAAATACGTGTACATATATTTTACACATTTGTATAATAAAAACTTACTAAAGATATGCAAATGACCTAAATACCCCCACATGACTAGCACATCAGGGACATTAAAGAACTCAGGGGCTGTTTACCAAATGTTTTCCCGATAAACATGACAAAGACTAAGAATATTACTCAGTAAGAACGATGGTAAGGACCGAGAGTCTTACTCTGTAAGTGAGAATGATGACTCTTACCATGTCAACGCTTACATGATAAATAGTTGCATACGATGTAGTTTTGATAGACTAAAATCTTACGCAATAAGTTAAGTGAGGATGTTGATTTCTACTAGGTAGCGTTTGGGTAAACGACCCCGTAATATTAGGAACAAAACCTGTAAAAAAAATACAGAATTACAGACTGTTTAATGTATTTCAATACCTAAATGATAGAAGAACACATTTTTTATACATCACATGGACAATTTTTATAATTTTCTAAAAAAATTTATAAGGAAAGTTTGATTAAGAGAAAATAAAAAGTTTCTAAATCCAACAGCAAAAAGTCTCCCAATTTGGTAAATTAAAGAAGTCAACCACAACCCAAACAAGTGAAGCTTTTTGGCAATTTTTTCCCTACAATTTCTAAATGTTAATAATTTAATTTTAGAAATTAAATATATAAATACATTTTTCTGATTAACCTGAATATCCAACTTGCTATGTGAGCCGACTAGTCTCAGGATGATCACCTGATTTATGGGTAACAAGAGAATTTTTATTCTTCATTGGATTTGAACATGAATCTCCAGACACTTTGGACATTTGGAGCCCAAGCTAAAACCAATTAGCCATCACCCTTGTGGTTTACATCAATACATTTTGATTGGAACAAAAGAAGTGGAATTAATTTCAACTTTCTTTTATTCCTGTAGTGAAGTTTAAATAAAAATATATCACGTTTTATGACGTCAAGTTGCTTCAATCGCTCGTATTACATGTTTTTGATTGATAATTATCACTAACGACAAATTTGCCTTTTGTTTTTCTTATTATTTATTACACTGTTAGTTCTTAGTTGATTGTTAGAGGTTGTTTGTTTACCTCTTAATAGTTCCATTAAGAAACAACCTTTGAATTGTTAATAGATGAATCTTGTTTGGAAAAAAAAACATGCCTATTAATGGTTCTAATACCCTTTGAATGATTTTGCATCCAGAGCCTGACTTAACCATTCAACACCCTAATTTCATTGTAAACAATTACCAAACAATTATATTTCATTTTGCACTATATTATGAGATTCTCTTAATCATTTTGCACCAAACCATTCAGCAACTACTAAACAACTCCTAAGTTGAACTTAAAAAACTTGTTATGTGGAATATTACATTTAAAACAAACTTTTGATATTTTTAATGTTTTTCAGTTACCCACAATATAAAAAGTTCATAAAAGTCAAATGAAATAATTTAATTGACTCTACGTATGCATATAAATGAAGAAACAAAGAGTTTGCAAAATTGCCTTTTAATAAAAATACATCTGATGTCCCATGATGAAAGATTAAGGAGTCGTTTACCAAATACTTATCGGGTGTCTTGTACCTTAACGAGTGAGTATAGTATGGATCCATAATCTTTATTTTATTAACCTGGATATCCAACCCGCTATGCGAGCCGACTAATCCCAAGGCGACCACCTGTTTTGCAGATAGCCCGGAGTCATCGCATTTGAACCTCTGTGGCCACAAGGGGACTTTTATTCATTTTTGGATTTGAACCTGAAACCTCCTGGTACTTTTGATCTTTGGAGCCAAGCTTAAACCAATCAAGCACCACCCTTGTGGTTATACATGAGAGACATAATAAATACCGAGAATCTTACCTGATAAATGAGCGGGATGGCTATCACCCAATTAGTGCTTACCGACAATCAATTTTGATGACCAAAAATGTTACTCGATATGGGAAAGAGAGATTCTTTTAAGGACCATTAGTGTAAATTATAGAAAGAAAAGGACAAAAATGTAAATAAGTAATACTCTAGGACCATTTTTAGAATTTACTTGTTCAACTTATTTAAGATTGAAAAGAACACATGCTGTTTGCTAATTGTTCCAAAATCATCCCCTCGCTTCCATCGCGTCGCGTCTTATGCTCCTTTCAGAGATCGATACATACATATAGAGACGATAGATTAACCTATACGCACACCATCTGTATACATGTCAGAGAAACCGACCAAGAAAAGATCGACAAACCCTTCTGGATTTGGGCTCTACGGATAAGTATACACACATACAGAATTCTGTATCTATTATCCCTCCATAAACCCTTTAAGCTTCTCTCTCAAATTTGCCTGATTTTGCCTCAATTTTGCTTCGGAGTTCACCGGCATATCTTTATTATATCACATTCGGAAACCCCCTTTCTGTGCGATTTTTGGGAAATTGACTGATTTGTCGGAGGGTTTTTGCGTTACCTTATATAATACGGTACTTCCATATCTGTGTATTTTTCGTTGAATGGGCGATCTTGCTATGGACGAGGATCGCCCGTTTACGCCGTCTTTTGCTTTGTGTAACCCGGATCCAAATTCGATTCGGACCGAGACGTGGGTCTTAGCTGAAGACCCGGTTCGGGACGTGTTGAATTGCATACACCCTACTTTGGATTCTGATGAGAAGAGGAAAGACGTGATTGAACACGTGCAGATGCTCATCAGATGCAATCTCCGATTAGAGGTTAAATTTTAACTCAATTTTACACCACCGTTTATTAAATTTTATGCTTTGTCTTTTTGCATGTGTAAACCCTGTTCATAATTCGGGTTTGGGTTTATACCCGTTTATGATTCTTTTAATCTGTTTCGGTTTGCTGTTTCTGTATTAATCTATTCAAGTTCGTCCACTTCTTGAGTTATTCATGTTGCTTTGTAATCCTTTTCTTTTTAGTCTTTAATCGGAACAGATAATGATGCAGGGGGTGCTCGGTGTTTGGATGTGCGTTCAAATCGATAATGGGTTTTCAGTTTTTGGTTGAAAGTGTTGATCATTTTGATTTTCTGATTATGCAGGATTAAAATATTTTAATTCTTGCTGTAAGAAAACAATGATTATTGAGATAAATGTATAGTTACCTGATTTTCCTGAGATTTAATCAATTGTTTCTGATTATTCAAATCACAAATAATCACTTTCAAATCGAACATCCAAACACCGGCTAATGTAAGTGTTGTGTAAGATGTTTGACGTTTAAGCTACTCGTGTTCGAATTGTATCGATTCCTTTTGATTACACTTGGAACTTTTTAGCATTTCTTGGTGCATTTTGTGCATCACGGAATGTTCTGGAGGTTAAATTTGCAATTGTGGTTCTTATTCTTGGAAGTTCGAGTGTTGATTTCATGTTGCATTGTTACATTTTCCCCTCCAAGTTATGAAATCGACACTAAAAGATAGAAGTTGACTATTGATTTCATAACATGCCGAAGAATATCAGGGTGCAATATGGGAATTTTGTTTATAGCCTGATGTTATCATTGATTGCAGATTTTTCTTCTTCTGGATTGAAGAAAATGAGTCATTATGTGATGTTGGAATTGATAACTTCTTTAAAGGTTGAGACCCAAGTTCCCATTTGGCTGTATGCATGATGAATGAGGATGATTATATTGAATTTTCATATTTCGTTCTCAAAATCGTGTTCTTTTCAACTCTCTGATAAAAATGTCTATGATTTGAAGTAATCTTAGATCAATGAAATAGATTTTACTTTCAACTGCAACTGGTATAGGACAAATCTGCCTACACCCCCATACCCTACTTCCGAGTGGGATATATGCATTCCTCACATACTAAAAGAATTGGGTTTCATTAAGTTCTATCCATCATGGCATTCATAAATTTAGCATATCTTAACATCAAGTAGAACACTTCTTATATATCATTTTTACATAATGGGAAGTCATTGCCACCTTGGTGGCAGGTAAATAGATTTAGGAGTGGTATTTTCTGACTCTTAACTTGTCCTGCCTGCATTTTTTGTGCACGACTGTTACCCAGTTCTAATCTTTATGGGTAGGCAGGGCAAATAACTAGCTTCAATCTCCCGAACGCTCTACACTACTCTCTATATCCAGATTATTCATTTAATAGTTTCGCCATATTACTTGACTAATCTTGAATTTTTTTCTAGGAACAGTTAATATATTGGCTTTGCCTTTTATATTGTTTACTGTTTACTTATTCAGTTTCTTGTTTCATAGATTTTTTTAATATTCTGGTACATTACATGCCTTTTTCTTTCTTGTTTTGATCATATTTCAAGTTTGGAATATATCAAAGAAATTGGCTTTATATAAGAGAGCTTGGAAGATTGTTTTCTTTTTCAAATTTACATGGGTTTTATATTTACCTTATCCTAGTTGATTTGGGTTAAAAAGCTGCTTTTGTTGTCGAGAACTTGAGGGTAAAAACGTCATACGTGTTTTGGGTATGAATGGATATTGAATTGGGGTGATCTATCTCTCGGTACCCTCCCATTGCACTACACATTTTCAACTAGTTGCCTTCGTATAGCTTTACACCCCCGTCCCTACCATAAGTTTGACATGTGCTATCATAGTTCTCATTGTCTATTTGAAACTTGTTTTATTATCTTTTGTTGAGTTGTTGTAATATCTTGTAAAGTCGTACTTTTTGAGTGAGTGACACATCCTATGTTAATTGGATCAAACATCCACTTTAATTTTCTCCTTTGAGAATAATAAAAAAGAAAGGTTTTCCTGTACTTTTGTCACATAGTATTTCTAGATGTCTGCCAAAAAGTGCAATCCAGAAAACACAATATGCGCTCCAGCCACACCTTCGTAAAAGTATCGAGATAGAACTCCAGGAATAAGTGGTAGAACTTGATAGGAAACTATCTAATCGGGTTATATATATATATATATATATATATATATATAGGCGAAGGATCGTTTGAGAAGGAGAGTTAAGGTGAGAAGCATAAGAAGGTTCTGGACCCTTTGATCACCTTTAATTTCAAACCCACCCATTGATCCGGTGCATCTCGATGCATCTCATCCTCATGTGCATCCAAGGGTGGAGATCCCTTCTTACGCTTCTCACCTTAACTCTCATTCTCATCGGAACCCAAGCCTATATATATATATATATATGTGGACGAAAATATTATGGTTGAATGATAGAAGGCCATTAAAACGAAGAAGGAGATGTTCTAAATGCCTATATGATGCAAGAGTATAGAGAACATGTAGGTTTGAATATTAGCTGAAAGTGGTGAAAATTGAGTGGTAAATTTTTTTTTACCACATACTAGGAAAGAAGAGGGAGCAATGGATGTCTACTTGTTGGATAACATAGAGTAAATCATTTATATTTTCATCGTTAAGCAATTTGGCTTGAGTTTTCAATAATTCATATTGGTGCAGTCTTTAGATGATCAAGAAAGCAATAATGATCCTTATGTTTTTTATAGTGATGATTTCTAATTGGTGATTATTTGATATAATATATAAATACTCTTTCCTTTCACCCTCTTGCCCACACATCTTGCTTCTCCCAGAATTATGTTTAATGTGATCATTTGAACACTTGTTTTATTTTGTGCCATCTATTACCTTGATTGCATCATATAAATTCTTCGAGTTCTTGTTGTACATGGTTTGTACCTCCTTACATCATTTGGCTATAACTAGGAATCGTTTGCTACTTGTAGGTCGAAGGATATGACTCATTAAACGACATAGTTGCTTTGTTAAATTCATTACCATGATGGGATTTTTTCATCCAAATTAAAAATGTCAACCGGATGGTATTTACCGAGAACACCTTTGGTCTAATCTTTTGCTTGTGCACTTGTTGTAGGTTTTCCCATATGGTTCAGTGCCACTCAAGACCTATCTCCCTGATGGAGACATTGATCTAACGGTCCTTAGTACTCCTAATGTGGATGAGCTTTTGCCTCGTGAAGTTCTTCGTGTTCTTCAGGAAGAAGAGCAGAATGGAAATAGTGAATATGAAGTGAAGGATACCCAATTCATCGATGCTGAGGTTATCCTCGTAACTCTAATGCTTTCTTTTATTATTCTTTAAAAACCATTGGACCATATTCATGTTAGTGTGATTTGCACAACCTTCTTCTTCAATTTTATGGATTTAAAGGGTGCCATTAAAACCATTTGAGGTTTAGCCTTGTGTAGAACTGGGATATCCTTAACGGGTTTCTTAACCGTCCTCATTTCTTACCACCTTAGGTTATCATCTTTCATATGGCAGGTAAAGCTTGTGAAATGCCTTGTCCAAGATATCGTCATAGATATATCATTTAATCAGTTGGGTGGACTTTGTACACTTTGTTTTCTTGAACAGGTATGATGCTTACGCTTTATGTTGAAATTCATTGCTATCGCTTACTTATATTCAACTTTTCAAATTTTAAGCTCACTTGTTCTTTCACACACTTTTAACAACCACTTTACTCTTTGAGGTAGAGGTATTTGACCCTCCCAGACCCCACCTTTGTTTGGGATATATTGGGCTCACTTGGTTTATTCAACCCTAGGGGGTTCACCTATTCATATTCGCATTTGGTTTGCACCCTTGAGTAATTTCTTTTGGTTTCATATTTAGGGCCTGTTTGTTAGCAGCTTAATGGAACTCACAGCTTATTCAGTCATCTATACGTGACTGTTTGGTAGCAGCTTAATAATATACAAAATGACTTATTCAGTAAGCTTCTAGGGGCAAGCGTTATGCAGAAAGCAAGTTTTTTTCAAACCTGCCCCTCCCAATTAAGAACCATGCTCCTTCCATCTATGAAAAAACCCTCCCAAACGAGAACCTTCTCAATCTATACAGACATAATAATCCACATAGGCAACTTTATCCATACAATACTTAATGAAAAACCAACCAAACAGTCCCTTAGCCTGCACCCAATTCATTTGAATAAATGCTTCTTGTCGATTGGTCATCGTCATCCTAATCTTATTATTATTATTTTGTATTCATACCGTTCTTGATGCAGGTCGACCGCCTTGTTGGCAAAGATCATCTATTCAAACGCAGCATTATTCTGATAAAAGCATGGTGCTACTACGAAAGCCGTGTACTTGGTGCTCATCATGGCTTGATATCTACTTACGCGTTGGAAACTTTAGTCCTCTACATTTTTCATGTTTTCCATGCATCTTTAAATGGACCATTACAGGTGTATCTCTTGTCCTTTGCCGGCAAAATCATATTTTTAAGCAACGATATATGACCAAGTCCACTAATCATCCATTTTTGCTCGTTTTTAGGTTCTCTACAGATTTTTGGATTATTATAGCAAATTTGATTGGGATAACTACATCATTAGTTTGGATGGTCCGGTGTCCAAATCTTCCCTGCCTAATTTAGCTGGTTAGAAATGCTTCATTCGTACCAAAATAACTGTCCGCATTTCTATTTTAGTTGTCTCAAAATAAGTGTCCATTTTCAAAAGTAAGGGTGTGTTTGGTACAATGAATAAGACAAGACAAAACAGAATAGGGATCACCGTTCCGTGTGTGGCAGAACTTTTATGTGGAACAGGGTGGAACACCCCTGCCCTATTCAACGAGGTGGAACAAACCTGTATTTTACCAATATAAACTCATAATAGAACCTAATTCTCTTCTAAAGCATCAAATATGCCTCCCCTCTTTAAATTTTATTTATTGTATTTTTATGCTCTCTAAACTTTTGCTCACTGCCCTCAAAATGTTATTTTTATACGGTTCCTATATTTTGGTTAATTTATATAAATTTTAACAATAATAAAATAATATAGGAAATGTATAAAATAAGAATTGGAAACTACATAAACTTTTTATTTTGGGGTCATTTTAATCGTCTTGACGGAAACTTTTCTACTGATATATTTTGTTATAAAAATATTTATTTTACTATAATTTAATAAATTACATAAATTAATCAGAATATACATAAGCCATAAACAACTCATTAGGGGTGAATTGGTCATTTTATCTATTCTGTGCTGTCTAATGTCTCTTATGTACTACATGTCTGGATGCCAAACGCACCCTGAGTGCCTACTCTCCAATTCTACCCTTAATTATAAGATGGAGAAATTCATTATTCCCTTTATTGCTAAGGGTAAAATGGTCATTTAGTTAATTAAAACAATGTGCATTTTTCTTGCAGTCACAATTTGCCGGGATTAATTCAGGCATAGCCTGCGACACCCTTAAAAAAAACAACTATGTGCATATTTTTTTGTGAACATTTTTTTGGGGACGGAGGGAGTATGCAATTGTCTGCAACACATTTTGTGGAATTTCAAGTGCTTGCTTTGTGATTTTCCCTTTTTTCTGCAGCGGAAATCCCAGAAAATCAAGGAACCGATGTTTTGCTAAGTGGCGAATTTCGGAGGAACTGTATGGACATGTTCATAGTCCCGTCTAAGGGACTCGAGACAGATCTGCGAGCTTTTGCTCAGAAGCATCTCAATATAATCGATCCGTTGAAAGAAAATAACAATCTTGGGCGAAGCGTGCACAAAGGTAAAACAATTCTTGTACTAAAATAAAATAGATAGAATTAACTTAATTTCACTATTTATAGTTCTGAAAACAGAGTCTCAACGGAAACAGCCGATCACCGCTCTACTCTTTAGGGTAGGGTAGGTCTGTCTACATATCACCCTCCCCGAACCATGCTTTTAGTGGTTACTGGGTTTGTTTAGTTTGGTTTAGTTCTTTGAAGCACATGTAGGGTGCTTTTGGTACACTGGACAGAAAAGAACATGACAGGGATCCCTAGGGTGCTAATAGTGGTTTCTTTTTCCAAATATTCTCTTCCAATTGTTTGGTTCCACAAGATTTTGTAATATGCAACTCTTCTCAAAGTTAAATTATCTTGACGGTTTGTAGGAAATTATTTTCGGATACGGAGTGCACTTAGATTAGGGGCTCGGAAGCTTGGTCGAATTATGCAAATGCCAAGCAGCAATATTGGAGACGAGATCAAGAAGTTCTTTATGAATACTTTACAGAGGCATAAACCTAAATACGGGCCCGATACCGCCTTAATATACGGTTCTAAAGGCTTTGGCACTTTGTCCATATCGTCTCTTAGTGAAGCCTACTATGAGGATGATATGTATTCACGGTTCTCAAATGGCGATTTTGATGACTATCTGAACGATGTATCCACCGTGGGTTCGATAGAGGCAAACAACGTTCCGACATTTCAATCTTCGAGTTTGAGAAATGGTAGCGATAAGTTTGATTCTTCGCCCAAAAGTGGTCAACTTGGTCGTTCTCATTCTGGGCGATATGACCAAAATGCCCCTCCATCAGATTCTGTTGATGAGAAGACTGGTCTTGAGCTATGGATGGAACGAGGAGGGTCTCAGTTAGTGGATGGAGATACGATTTGTGTATGTCTTAATAAGAACGAGAATGAGAACGCCTCTGATAGTTTGTCGTCTGATGTTAAAGAGCGGGATGCAACAGATAGTATTGGGGAAACGGAAATCTTGAATCCATTTTCAGATCTCACTGGAGACTACGATAGTCACATAAGGAATCTGCTATACAGCCAAGGTTGCCATGGTTATGCATTGTCTGCAGCCATGGTTTGCACCAGTCCTCCTACGTCACCTTATGGGAATAATAATCTATGGGACGCTGCTGCTCTTTCGTGGTCGGTTCCCTTTTCGTCTTCACAAGTGAATGCAAATGGTGTACCGATGGGTCGGCCGACATATCTCAACGGCGGCACCAATCGCACTCCGACCAATGCCGCTTTGCGTGGGACTGGGCCGTACATCCCTATTATGGTATGTTCTTCACTCGTTTTTTTCCCGTTGCACTATCAAGTATCGTCTACGTTCCAAAATAAATGCCTATGATGAAAAACAAACACTGTTCTAGAAAATTTAAAATGGACTAGATGACAATTTTATCAAGAGTGAGTGATGAATTTCTTCTCTCATAATCAATCGTAGAATCGGAAAGTAGACTATTATTCTAGGCCAAACTACAATAGAAATGTGAACAATGGTTATGACACATGGTTCTTGTTGGCTATTTGTCTGATCCTGGAAGACAACATAGAGGAATCTTGTGGGACCCACATTATATACACACATACACATATATATAGAGGGAGATAGATAGGGTTAGGTTTAGAGAAAACCAGAAGAAAGAAAATGAGGAACACCCTAATAACCAATTGTGTGGCATGCACATGTGCATAAAAGTAATTTGTCTGGCATGCACATGTGCATAGAAACCAGGAAACATTTTCAGTTAATTTTATGCATATGTGAATACCAAAATATTGTTGTTGGGCTGTTTCTCAGTTTTTCCATTTTCTTATGGTTTTTTCCCAGAACCCAAGTCTTATATATATATTAAAGTAATTTTGAACATGAAAAACACATTCTTTGTTGCAGAACTGCACTACATGCAAGGAAAGACCAGCTACAAGGGGGAGAGGAAGGAACCAAATGGTACCAGTTTCTAACGGTCATCTGCAGCGAGCTCGTGGTGAACCAAAATTGGTGGGGGAACCAGCTAACCATGCACATGAACGGTCTCCAAGACAAATCCGCACCAACTCTGAGCCGCAGCGTAGCCTAGTTAACTCAACTGCCAACAGTTTGGCAAACCAACCAAGGAAACTCGAGTTTGGATCTTTTGCAGGGACCCCATCCATTACAGATTATGCGCAAAGTCCTAAATTTGACGGAAAACAGGGCAGGTAATTCAAATCTACTATTATATATAGGGGAGGTTTATTTTACGAACCATGTAATTCTTACAAACTGATCTCAACCATATATGTAGATAATCAACGGTGTGGATCAATTCGGTTCCTTAATTTACTTGCAACCGCCTCTAAATTTCAAAATAAACAAAATCAATGGTTTGAGATTAGGTTTGTAGAGTTTGTTAGAATTGTTGGGTTTGTAACCGGAACCAACCCTGTATATATATAGGGTTGGGTTCAGGGGGAAACTGCAAAAAATTGAGGAACACCTTAGTTAATAGTTCATCTAGATGGTATCACATGCACATACAAGTAATTTGTAAGCAATCTGTCCGGTATGCACATGTGCATAACATGCATAAAAACCAAGAAACAACTTTAATTACTTGTATGCACATGTGCATAACGTCCAAATGAATAGTTACCAGAGTGTTCCTCAGTTTTTTTATTTTTTTTGGGGTTTTCCCAGAACCTCCCCCTATCTCTCTATGTATATGTGTGTGTGTGTGTGTATATATATATAATAAACTTCTTTTAGGGTGCGTTTGGTACATTAAACATGACTAAACAAAACAAAAACTTTTAGATGGTAAATTACTAAACTACACATTACCAAACATATCCTTAGTATTTTGTTTCGTTTATTGAGTTGAGAGGTGTTTTCAGGATCGGAGAGAATTCATTCCACCTCAAGAACGAAGAAGAATTCCCCCCTCTATCGGCATGAGTTTTTCGTGTATAAAAAAGAAAAGCAAAGAGGTAGTAAGTCCGGAAAGCGGGATATAATAATCTTTAGATGCTAATATAGCCGAAGATATATAACTGATCTTTAGGGGGAAAAAGAGGAAATTGAACGTTTCTTTTGCTAGTTTTCTATCAAACAGAAGTTGGTTTTTGGTTGGTTGTGGTATAATCATATGTAGAGAAGAAAAAAGGTTGGAAATTGATCAACTTTTGTTCAAATGATGCTATGCAGATGTTTTCATTCATGGCTGAATGGTTTTTTCTGCCTCTTTCACTTGCTTTTACCGCCGGGTTTTTCGTTCCGAAAGAGTTCGTTTTCGTTACCTTTTGTTTTGCGAGTTTGAAAATAGATTTTGGTATTTATCCGAGTGGGATATACTGGGTATGTTTCGTTGAAAGACGGTTTGGATCTTGGGGTTAGATAGCGTAAGGGGTTTCTTTTGCAGTTGTGGTACTTGTGCATTACAAATTGTATTTTAGGGGTTATTTGGTTGGTCTTGCATTAAGTTTTGTACATATAAAGTTGGTTGGTGGATTAATCTGTCTGTATAGATTGGAAAGAGTTTTTTATAGATGGAAAGAGTGTTTTTTAATTCGAGGGTAGGTTTGGAAAAAACTTGGTTTTCTGCATAATGTTTCTTCTAAAAGCTTATTGAATAAGCCATTTTCTGGACCTCATACAATTGTGTCGGGTAAGCAGCAACCGCTTTGTCATATGCGGACTGGTTAGATGCGTGGGGCAGAGGGATCGTAGTACCCTATAAATTCAGTTGAATTCTAGATATACATATGTCAAAATCCTAAAAGCTAATATAGTACCAACTTTAATAGAAAGTCAAGTACAATTTTTTCAAATCACTACGGAATCAAATTAGAATTCCTATTTTGATCATTTTCAAACAATCATGTATAGCTTATTGAATAAGATGTGAGTCTCGTTAAACTCATTAAGTTGTTAACCATACAGTATTTACTTGCTAAAATAATTCGATCTTCTGATTTAAAGGGGAAATAGAACACAATTCATATTTTATAGTATTATTAAATTATAATACAATCTTTTTCCATCTTGATTGTGTGTGTATATATATATATATATATATATATATATATATATAGACTTGGGATCATGTGAGACCAATGGTTTTTCGTGAGACCCGTAAGACCAATTCTCAACCCTTGGATTAGATTTACAATCGTCAGATCTGAACATTTATAAACGCCACGAGACTTCTCACTAATTACGAAATTGCCACCTTGCAACTTTGCAATCATTAGATCATTAGTTCATAAATTTGATCAATGAACATAAATTGGTCTTACGGGTCCCACGAAAAACCCTTGGTCTCACGTGAACCCAACCCTATATATATATATATATATATATATATATATATGTGTGTGTAAAAAAGGTATAAATGGAATAAAAATGATGTTTTTATATATTTTTGTTAAATTAAAAAGTAGTCGTCTTTAGATAATTTAGTTTTAAAAATAAAAAATAATCCATTTTAATAAATAAAATATTGCCCAATTAACACATCTTAAGAAATAGATCTTAGAGGTTCTTTGTTTATCTCTTAATAGTTCCATTAAGAGACAATCTCAGAATTGTTAAGATGTTAATCTTGTTTGACAGAAAAATAGTCTGCCTTTTAATGGTTCTAAAACCCCCTGAACGATTTTGTATCATGGGTCTTCTTTAACCATTCAAAGCCCTAATTTCGTTGAAAATAATTATCAGACAATTATATTTCATTTTGCATCATATCATGAGAGTCTTTTAATCATTCTGTACCAAACTATTATATACTTGATCTATTCATAACAAAAGAGTAATATGGAATATAAAAGACAATTTAAATTTTCATTCTTATTATTTACAAAACAGAAAAAAAAATATGAAACTTATAAAAAAAAAATATTTTGTATAATATTATTAATTTATGCTGACAGTTGATTTTTTAATATAAAATGAAATCGAGGGAATTTGGATTTCAAATCGAGTTCAAGTGGTTGGGATTGTTTGGATTTGAGATTCTTTATTGTTGTTGGGATTTCACGATGTTTAGTACATTTGTATATAATAATGTTTTAAAATATGTTATCCAATAAATTATTTATAAAAAGTTGAAGTCTCATTCCATTTTAAATCCATTAAAGCAAATACATAAAAAATTCCAGATCTTTTTACGAAATCTAAATCCCTTAAAACCATCCATCAAATCAAACTGTGGTTGTATTAGATAGAATTAGAGTGAAGTAACTAAGATGAGAAGATGGAACACAAGAAGCACCAGTGGTCTAGTGGTAGAATAGTACCCTGCCACGGTACAGACCCGGGTTCGATTCCCGGCTGGTGCATCCTACGGAATTGCGATGAGGACTCCTGCGCTCATGTGATGTTGGGTCATCACAGCCGTTCGATCTTTCGAATCACAGCGCATCTGAGCATTCCATTTTTGTTATTCAAAAAGACACCGTTTTTGTTGTTATATACACTAGAGAAGCTGTCAGAACATGAAAGGACCGGTGGTCTGGTTGTAGGATGATATCCTCCCACGGTAGAGACCCGGGTTCGATTCCCTGCTGGTGCATCCTACCGAATTGCGATGAGGACTCCTGCGCTCATGTGTTGTTGGGTCATCACAGCCGTTCGTTCTTTCGAATATAAGCGCTTCTGAGCATTTCATTTTTTAAAATACATATTTATAGCATCTTATAAGCATTGATCTTCAATTGGGAACCTTTTCTTACTTGCATTCTTATCGGAACTCAACCCTAAAATATGATTTCCGTTTTTATATGTTATGAATCTTAAAGGTTCATCTGTGACGACTAGGGGTGATCAAAAACCCGACCAACCCGATCAACCCAACCCAACGCAAAATAACTTAATCCGAAGCAACCCGATGTCTAATCAAATTGTAAAATTTTCTACCGTAGGTATTGAGTTGATATTGGGTTACTATTATTTGAACTCAACCCAACCCGATGAACCCGATATCTATTTATTTCTTGGATTTAATATGATTGTTGAATTTATATTAATATATACACTAGACAATTACACTATCACGTATGCTATTCATATACACATCTTTTCAATCTATTCACATCTCTATATAACTCATTCGTATGTATGTTCAGTAACTGTAAACATATATACGTAAATTGAGAAAATTAACTGAATGTGATATACGTAAAAAGTATGGATAAGTTGTATCAAATGGTTGATGATGAAAAAAAAAAGTTTGCATATATGTAATTTTTAAGTTGGTTTAAAAACCACTACCAACCGAAAAAGTTTGGTATCAAGTACAATTGGTTGGTACATGTTATAAGATTTTGCATATCAATTATAATTGGTTGGTAGACGATATTAAGGGAAAACATACTTAGTTCACTCCTAAGGATTAGTCAATGTACGTAAATTGATCTAGTTAATTGGAAAAAACTTATGTATCAAACTTGGTTGATCTCGTATACGATCGATATTAAATATTTATATATGTAAGTTTCGGAAGGCCAATGTTGACATAAAAAACGATATACTTAGTAACAGAGTCAATGAAAGTGAAATCCTCCCTTATCTTTATAATCGGTAGAGTTTTATATTTGATATTTTAAATACAAAATTATAAATTAAATAGTTTATAACTTCTAATTCGACGAAAAAACGATAAATTCACCGCGTGTAAGTACGTAGTTTTAGTTGTAAATTTGATCCATTTGCCATATAAAATGGGATATGAAAATAAAATAAAAAAGAATTAGATGTTTGTAATAATGATTAAAAAAACGTCGTCGATCATGTTAAATAAAAGTTAATACAATTCTCGTTATATATTGTAAGTGTTTTGATGATGGAATGAGTTTCGGTGAAAAAGGAACTTGTTGTTATGGACTGTTTACTTGTGGTTTAATTAGGCTTATTGGTCTATCTAGTTTATTCGCACAGTTCATTTGGGTTGTTTACTTACGACTTATTCGCACAGAACATGGCTTATCCGCACAAACATAATTGGTGTGTTGTCCCCATTCAGCCATAGAATGACACTCCCATCCCTTATTTAAAGCACCGCCTCCTTCCCATATGAGACACCCCATCGTCGGCCTCTTTATGATTTTTTGTTTTAATGTTCAAATAATTAATATTGGTTGGGGGGGTAAATCGGTCATTTATGTTAATGAGACTGTTGGTTCAATTAAAAAAAGTAAACAACAACATCCATTTATCCAAACAGACAAATTTATCCATACATGACTTAATAAAATTTTTAGTAAACAACCCCCAAAGCATAAGAAGAGATGTTCAATATTGGATCAATCTTAATTGAATGCCAACATTAATGAGGTGCACAGAAATACACCACATCAATTGCTTTCAAAAGCATAATTAATGGATGAACATGAGATTACAGTATTGTTTGGCGATTCAACTACTTTTTACATTCTTACCAGCTTGCTTATGAGATAGTTTGTCAAATACAGTCTAAAAATTATCAATGGTTCAGATATCTTATCTTACATATTAAATTTATTTTCGTTTTAGAGAAAAATACTATTTTTAAGACTCGTTATTGGTGGAAGTATAATATTGATTTTGTTTTAAGATGATTTGTTATATATATTATTAAGAGTACTTAAATAGCAGGCACATATGTTTTAGAAAAAACATGCAGAAAAAATGTTTTTTTTTAGTTAAAAGACATCTAAAATCTTT